CACCCCCCGCCCCCCAGTTTGGCCCCGAGCTCCCCGAGCCCAACTTTGTGAGGTGGGACCCCACAGTGCACGTCGCGGCGTTCGGCTACCTGCGACAGGTCCAGCTCTTCCGCGCCCGCCCCTGCTTCGAGCCGCTCGCCGCCATCCCCATTGCTGGCGCGACCGGCGCGGCGTGGGCGCTGCGGCAGCTCTACGTCGCGACCCCGACCGGCGTGCACGTCGCGTTTGTGTCTGCCGGCGAGAGCCGGGGGCCCGCGGGGCGGTCGCTGCTGGATCTGGACGCTGGGGCGGCCTCGGGGCCCGCGGAGCCGTCGGTGGCGCTGGTGGCGCTCGCTGCGGCGACTGGGTCGGACGCGACGAACAGCATGCGCGCGGACGGCGCGGGCGCGGGCGCGGCGCTGCCGGCGCCGCGGCCGCGGCCGCCGGGGCCGGTGGCGCTGCTGGGGCCGCGGGAGGGGGGGCTGTGGATGGTGAACGAGTTTGGGCAGCCCATGGTGCTGCCTATGAACCACGCAGGTGAGATCTTTTAGCTACTCCAGGGGCAACAGGGAAACGGCGAGTGTTGTGGCCTTTACCAGGGCTGTAACGCGGCTTTCGCGCTTGCGCGCGTGTGCGGTCTGCAGTGTGGAATCCCATTGCGTGAGCAGGCAATCCCAAGCGCAACCCACTTCAAGTTTCTCGGCACGCTTGAGGGGCATAGTAGCAGCACGCCAGCGCAACCCCCGCCCCAATCCCCGGCCCCTCCAGGCCTCCGCGCGCGCTGCCTGGCGGCGATGGGCGACGTGCTGGGGGCGGTCCAGGTCGCCGCGGCCGGCCTCGCGCCCGCGCACCACGACGAGCTGGCGTCGTTCCTCGCGACCATGGCGGCGCCCTCGGGGGCGCACCTGGCGCTGATGGGGCTGCCGGGGCTGTCCTTGGGCATGGAGGTGGAGCTGTGCATGGCCACGGGTGGGTGGGGGAGCGGTGGGCGGTAGGCGGTTGGCGGTAGGCTTGGGGGTGCAGGGCTGGGGTGGGGTCGGGCTGCAGGTTCAGCGGGATCGGGATCCAGTGGGGTAAGGTTAACCAGGACGTGGGGGGTTGGTGTGATCGGGGGTTGTGTGACAGGCGCTGCAGGGTTGGGAGTGAAGGCTGGGCCTCCAGTGAGGCAGAGGGTACGAATACTTTGTAGGCGGCAGTCAGTGGCCTGCGTGGGAGGGTTGGAGGGTGCTCCATGGGAGCGAGGGGTAAGAGCGGAGAGACTTAACCGTATTGACGTTCGAAAGGGCAGCAACAGCGGCCGCTGCCCAGCCTGGGTCGGACCCAGCCTCACCCAGCGCCTGCCAACCCCCGCAGGCCAGTGGCGCCGCGCCCTGGCGTGCTGCGACGCGCTCATCCAGGGCTGCGCAGACCGCAGCCACCTGCGCTCCGAAGCCGGCGCCGCCGGCCCCGCCGCGGCCGCCGCCATAGGCGTCCCCACCGCCCCCGGCGCCCTCGCGACCGCGATTGCTGCGCCTGGCGCGCCCGCCGTCGGCGGCCCAGCGGCGGTGGGCCCGCTGCCGGATGACCCGCCGCCGCCCAGCAAGGTGGCGACCAACCAAGCCATGTGGGGCCACATGGGCTTTGGCGGCCTGTTTGTCGACAACTTCAGCGTCCCGACTGAGGAGACCGACGCTGCGCGGAAGAAAGCCCGCGACCCGGTCGCGCGCGGCAAGGTGGACTGGGGAGCGCCGCTCGGCGCGGGCTGGCAATACAAGAAAGGCGGCGGCGGCGGTGGCGGCGGCAGTGGTGGCGATGGGCCCGGCAGGGCGGCGGCAGTGGCGCCGGCGGCGCCGGCGGCGCTGCAGCCGTCGGCCACGGCGCTGCAGCTGACGATGCGGCTGGTGGAGGGGTCGCAGGACGCGGGGATACTGGACGTCACGGCAGCCGCCGCGCAGCTGCTGCTGGCGCACCGCGGCTGCCTGCGGCCGGCGGAGCTCGCGCGGCTGGCGGCGCGGATGGCGGAGGCGGGCATGAACTCCGACGTGAAGCTGCTGGTGGACGGCGGCGTGGCGTCGGGGTCGCACAACGGGCAGGCGGTCGGGTTTGTGGCGGCGGCGCTGACCGGTGAGTGCGTGCGCATGTGCTGTGGTCTCCGCGCGGGGCGTGCGAGGCGAGGGGCGGGATGTGCTGGTCTTGGGCTGCCGTGTTGCATCTATCTCTGCTTGTTCTGCATTTCCATGTACTCACGCAGCGATGGTGCCCCGCTCCCCCGTCCATTTCCCTGCACCTTGCCCCAACACCTCGCCGCCACGGCCCTCATCACCCTGTTGTCTCGCCCCCTCAGGCGACCTGCAGCGCCTCCAATCAGCGCTGGCCGCGAGCGGCACCGTCGCGCTCGCCGCGCTGCAGGCCAACACCTACCGCCTGCCGCAGTCGCTGCAGCAGACGACGCGCTGGAACGACGCCCTGGCGGCAGCCTCGGCTGGGGGCGCCGGCGCGCAGGCGTACCTGACAGTCATGCCTGGCGGCCTATGATTGAGCTCCTGCACGCATCGCGCCTGGTCTGCATGCGTTATGATTCTCACCCACCTGGCTGGCCGGCGGCTGAACGAGCGGCCCTGTGGCATCCTGCACTTTTCTTGAGCTGGCAGTGGTGCTGCCGTATGACGTGTACGCAAGGTTGGCGGCGTGATCTTTGCGCTGTTGCGCGGCGCGCCGGTCAACAGCTCCTGTGTAGTTGGTGGCGTGCTCCAACGCACTCACCTCAAACAACCACGTCTCGTTTATGACCCGGCATAGCACCATGTCAAACACACCGATCCCAACAAAAACGATCCGGCCAGGGGCAGTTGCGTGGGGCGAGGGTGGGTGTCGGCAAGGACTACTACTTCAAGCGCTTCAGGCACGGGGGGGAGGGGGGGCATGCACATCACTGAGGCACGGCGTGGCTGCCTTGTGCGGTTACCAAGCGGCCCCCGGCCACAGCGCCACGAGCAGGCACCTAAGCTGAAAGCAGAGTGGCGCTCAAAGCAAGCCTAGCGGTATCGCCTCTTCAGCCAGGCCTCCGATTCTGAGGCGCAGGGATGTACGCCAAGTCCAGCGACTGTAAAAGCATAGTCCGTCTGTTGCACTAGTAGCTCAGCGAACCCTACCGCGACCCTCGCTGCCGCAGGCCCGCGTGGCAGCGCCAAGAGCACGCAAGCGCTGCTCCCCCTGATGTGCCTGCAGGTGCACCCGAATGGGGTGAGCAGCAAACACACTGTTGACACAAACGTACCCCAGCACAACTGCAGTGCATGCACAAGCTGCTGACAAGCGGGCGGGCGCCCACGGGCCCTCTGTGTGCAGAAAACTTTGCAATGCGCCACCTCTGACGTCCGAATCGGCAGAGTGTGACGCATTGATGCACATGGCATTTATTAACAGCTAACGCGCATTGCACCTGCGCGTTGCTCTTTGCGTCCGACAGCTTGACAGCGTGAGACGGTTACACCAAGAGATGGCCACATTTGTGAGGCGCCATGGTCCTCCTTCTAAAGCTGCTAGCAGCGATGTTGAACAATGCAAGCTGCCCAAGAAAGCAAAAGAACGGGGCGCCCTTGCGGCGTCCCCGCCGCCGCCGATCCCAGCCGGGTCGTGAGGTTTTCGTTTCAAAGTGACAACAACGATGTTCAAGGGAGGCGCCCTGCAGATCACTCGTCCTCGTCTTCATCCTCCTCCATGCCCTCGCCCCCCTGCTCGTCATCGTCGCTATCCTCGTCGTCCTCTTCGTCCTCGTCCAGATCACCCTCGTCGCTATCCTCGTCCTCGTCGCTGCCCAGACCGCGAGGCGCAAACGCGTCCTCAACCTCGACCTCCGCGCCGCCGTCCTCGCTGCCGCTCTCCTCGTAGACCACGCGCGGCGCGGCGGCGCCGGCGGGCGCGCCGTCGTCGTCATCGCCACCGCCGCCGCCGGGCGCGGACTGCGCGAGCAGCAGGTCGAGGCGCCCCGAGAGCGACAGCAGCGTGCGCTGCATCGCCAGGCGCGCCTCGATGGTCTGCAGAAGTGGGGCGGGGCGGGGTACGGGGTCGTTCGACGGCGGCGGGCACACGGCATGCGCAGAGTTGCGGCTGGGCCCAAAGGACACAGCAGAGCCAGCAAGGAGTAAGGACAGGGGGTATGAGTCGCCGCCTCACAACGCACGGCAGAAGGTCCAGAGAATCAGAGCATGCACTAAGGGCTGGCGACCCAGCCGCACCTGGTAGAGCGAGGTGAGCACCGGCTGCACCCCCGGCGCCGCCATGAGGTAGGCCGTGTGGTGCAGCAGCACCGCGCGTATCCACCCCGCCAGCTGCTGCCCCCGCACCGGCCGCGACTGCAGCCGCTCCACGCACGCGCGCAGCAGCGCCGCAGCGTCCATGGGCAGCAGCCGCCGCACGCTGTTGCGCACGACGCGCGCGTCCGACAGCCCCAAGCACCGCTCCAGCAGGCCGCGGTCCCCGCTGCGCAGCGCCTGCTGCAGCAGCACCGCCAGGGAGTCCGCCTTGACAGGGCCGTCCAGCAGCGCCGCCCCCGCGGCGGCCGCCGCGTCGGCGTCGGCGTCCGCGGTGCTGGCGCCGGCGCCGGCCTGCTGCCGCTCGAGCGCCGCGACCCGGTCGCCCAGCGTCTCCCCGCCCTCCTCCTCCTCCTCGTCCTCCTCCTCGCCCTCCTCGCCACCCTCCCCACCCGCCGCCGCGGCCCCGGCGCCTCTCAACAGCTCCTCGCCCTCCTCCCCCTCCTCCTCGGGCTGCGGCCGCTTCTTGCCGCCGGCAGCGGCGCCCGCAGCCGCGACCGCGCGCGGTCGCACCAACGCACCATCATTCTCGGGCCCCAGCATCTCCACATCCTGCAGCGGCCCGTTCGCCGCCGCCGCCGCGCCGCCCGCGGCCGCGCGCGCGCGCCCCGCGGCCT